GAATTTAAGCAAATCAATATTAAAATCTCCCATAAGATGGCATATTTTATTTTCCGTATTAATTTTAGTTAGTAGTTCATCAATATGTTTAGAGAAACTAATAATGTTTGTACAAGGAGGTTTGTATACAGTGCCAATAATTATGTTTTTCTTTGTATTAAGTATTATTTCAATAAATATAGAATCACCAAATTCTTTCGGGAGGGCAAGATTAGGGCGAAGACGAACATTAAATTCATTACGAATGAATAATCCCACCCCTCCTCCGACGTGTGATTGTCTATTACTTGCGAAAAAGGTATTATCATGTAAAAACGGCAACGGTTTGTTATCTTTTAGCCAGGTCTCAGATAGCCCGATTACTGAGAACTTAGTATGAATTGAATTTAGGAGCTTTTCAAATGCCGTCTTTTGTTAAATAGATAAAAGCCCCCACCCCTTGTTGTTGCTAGGTCCCGCAAAATGACAGCGTAAATAGTAAAAAGTACTAAGTTCCAAGGACTTAGTAATAACTGTGTAGTATAGTAAGTGTTTGTGGGAGAACGCGTATTGTTATATAGTATTAAGATAACTTACAAATATAGGCCAAATCAATAAAACCATTGGACTAAACTTTTACCTCACTAACCCAGTGGGCATCAGTTAAATTTGTCTCCTTAATTATTGTATATGAAGTCTTTGACAGGAGAATAGCCAATTCATGACAAAAAGCCCATGTGGCCAACTCCTTACACCCCAACTTGGTACTTATACTACTGTACTAGACTGTACTAGACTTTCTTCGGATGGTCTTTCCTTCGGATATCTTGAAGGCAAGACTACGTCAAACAGCCTTCCTTGTAAATATTTTACATACAGTTTGTAGTGTTGCAGCATAGAGAATAAAGTAGAGTTTTAAACAGAAACAGTTTTTTTCTTCGAGTAAGCTTTAAAAGTTCAAGTACCTCCACAGCAAATTTGATAGTGAGCGAGTGACACAAACTCCACTAACACTTGGTCATTTGGTAAGTTTGATTGACATTTCGGAAAGGTCCGTTACAGTCCGTTACATGCTTCCACTTGTCAACTTAATGCCTTTCTTAAAAAGATAGTTATAAAATATAATACTTCGCATGTTTTATACTAAATCATCGGGATGTTTTATTTTAAATTACGTAGTAAATAAGCAAGGCCAAAAATAATACCTTGCAAACTTTCACAGATCAAATTTGAAGAAAAAACATGAAGACGTATATTTAAATGAAGTACCGATAATTGTATTAAACGCAAGTACAAATAATTTTACATATCTCTTAATTCATCAAAGTTCAATATAAAAGTGCAAAAAGTTGGAATTGGAAAAGCTTGAGATTTCTCCCTTCCTATCGCTTCTTCTCTCCTTATCTCTTTTCTTTGGTTGGTGGGTGGGGGGGGAGAAAATATATTGTTTTTAAATTAGTGCAATAAATTGCTTTTTTTTGCACTTTTCCGGTAAGAAAACGTAACGCTGCCATTATCTTGTACGTACGCGATATTACGCCGATCCCGTACGTACGCATTGGAATTTATATTGTGCTTTCATAATGGACAAATTGAGTAATGCCCTCTACACTCTGGTGTGAACCAAATTATGGAAAGCCAAATTTGCCAAAAATACCAAACACAATCCATTAAACAACAATTCAATCGCACGAAATTCAAACCATTCAAATATACAGTATTACAAATGATTCAATAGGAAGGCACACCATTCAGTTAATACCCACGATATCAAATTCAAGGTGTGACCATCTACCCCTAAAGCAAACGACAATAGGCAACACAATTTAATACAAACTCAAACCATGTGGACAATGGATGAAGTGGGGCGCTGATATGATGCGATGTCTAGCCATTTGCGGCACCAGCAGGCTCGAGGCATGTTATTCTGTTGAAAACACTGCTTTGGAAACTTATTTTTGAGTCTGAAAGTGTAATTTCCATAAATTTAGAGGTATCTATTTTAAAATGAGCACACCTCAATCCCAACCACTGGTGAGTGGATATTTTTGTGGTAGGAAAATTTCTAGTGGCATTGCAGAAGAACCTTGAATGCAGGGTTTTTTGTTTTTTTTTTTGTTTTTTTTTTAAATTCTAAAAGAATTTGCACGTTCTCAGGTTTTTGTTTTGTTTTTGTTTTTGTTTTTTTTTCAAATTTCTAAAAGAAAGAAAAGAGAACAAAAAAAAAAAAAAAGAAAAAGAAAATTGAAGTCTGAGAGTGCACTTTCCTACAATCTAGAGGTGTTTAATCATAACTTTTCTTGCCTCAGCCACAACCATGGTGAGGCTGAGGTGGTATTTCCCCTTATCTGTGAAAGTTGTTCCCTGGCCCCTTCCATTTCGAATTCACCGCTATAAAACAAAACAGAAGTACACAATTTATGTCGGCCCGCTGCTGGTCTCAACAAATTGCAACAGGCCCCCGGCTTAAAAAAGTTGAATACCCGAGATTTACGGTATGCTACCACTTCTATTGACACACTTAATCCTGATTAACTGATATTGAAAACCAGCCATGCCAAAACTCTAAACAGTTAAAAGTACGATGGGACAGGCTCGAGCGTGACTTTTCTTAGATACCAAATTCCAAGGAACTGAGTAGCAATCAACTCGAAAAATTAAGGTTTGTGTAGAAGATTGTGGCTAAGAAATGACAAATATAACGGAGAAAAAGTACAATAATTGTATTAATTTTTATTTTGCCAGGGTATGCATTGTACCTTGCTTGCATTGATGGTCCGCCACTGCTATGTCATCGGGGATGTATCTTTTTAAATTACGTAGTAAATAAACAAAGCTAAGCATATTCTGTACTTTGCAAATTTTCTCCTCATTTTGAGTTTCACTCTTGTGCAAGTATTGCGACTAATACTACCGTCTAATTTACGATCAAACAGAACTAGGAAGATAGGAAGAACGCAAAACATTGGTTAGCATTTTTATTTCACATAAAACATAAAGGTGATTTATACATTTGTTTTAATCATTATCATGACGTCATGGTGAGTTGCGATAAAGTAACATCGGCGTAAACTTGTGGTCACTACTTAAAAAAGTCGAAATAGGTAGACCTATCCATATCACAGGCTGTATAATAATTATTGTTTAATAAAGGCTATATATGAAACCCAATTGATTGACTATCTAAATTTTTTTTTAAATTAAAAATAAATCAGGGACCTTTGTATGCAGATAATATTAAACACAACCGTAGTATATACGTACAAAAGGAATAAATCATTTATAGTAAATTGTGCACCGAAGATATATCAAACCTGCGTATACAATCGTTTTTATTCGTTTCACTTTATCGTGAGTTACAAAAACACGTTTTTAGTGGGGTAAATATTTCAAGTCGGCGATTTAGCCTGACCCTAGGCTGACTAAAAAATTCGGCCTGCGGAGGTATCATTTTAGTCGAGGCTCGCGTCATTTAGTCGTAGTGCTAGTCAAAGTTCGTTTTAAGAATACGAAATGCCGTATTTTTTAAGTTTTAGCTGAACTACGACTAAAGTTTGTTTTAAGAATACGGGGGTGAGCCTAGCACAAGATCGTGAAGCATGGAGAACATGATACTAAGTGCCTATAAAACAGGTCCTGCCCTTGAAAGAACACTGATGATTATGATGCTTATAATGGACAAAATTAATTTCGTAAAAAAAGGTGAACAAATTACACATAATGCCTTCTACTTTCTGTTTTGGACCAAATACATTTGTCGTGGACTGAATGGCAAATACTTGGAAAAAATACGGGACTGAGAATAAAAGGCGTCTTCTATAAAGCCACGTTATTAAACTTGAGCTGAAACTTACAATTTTATTGGCTGTTACTGGAAGGGATAGCCTTTTTAGTTTATATACAAATTGTAAAAAAAGAATAATACTACTGTAGGCCCATATGTATTTTATTCGTTTGTGTTTATTGAGTTTAGCCTTTAACCTAATACATTTGGTATGGCAATGAGTATGAATAATTTAATTGGGCTTCTTGGAGCCGGTTTTCCACTAGAATTTGTTTATTATTTTTACATTTGGTGAATAGATACTGAATACTGAAAAAAAAAATCCGAATATATTTCCAAATCAAATTCTTAACATTCTCTCTTATAATTTAATTAAAATTTAAGACAGAAATATGTTTCCTCAGAGAATCACAGACTCATACATAACTAATAATATATTTTCAAACTTTACCCATTCTCATGTTATAAAATTAATAAAAATAGTAATTTTTTAATGAAAGCTAGCTAAAATACACATTCAATTACTGATTTTTTTTTATTGAGAAAGTGAATTAGTTCATTGCAATGCAAACAAAACAGTATATCTGTATACAAGCCATTCCAAATTTGGTCTTGCCTTTTTCCAATGCATAGGTTTGTATCAATCTTAATTATAAGTTGTGGAATAACGTTAACTTCTTCTTGGCACATGGATTCAATGACGCAATTTAGCCAAATCGACATGTTGTGCTAACGGTAGGACGGTCACGCATGAGTAAATCCGCTCTAGACGTCACCTCACCCTACTAAATGGTACGAAGTTGTACTTAAGAATGATGAAGCTATTGCAATATTGATTTATTTCGCACTACAGTAAGTTACACTTATCGGTGGTGTGTATAAAATGAAACTAATAAAGTTAAATATAATGATATTGAAAATTGTCTCAGTCATCAACAATAGTATAGTGTACGTCGATAACGCTCTTACTTTTCATGCAGTTATTATTGAAACAGATCCAATAGATTCACACTCATCATTTTGGTCAAACCGGCTTTCCTGCTCCATTTCTATTCCAGCAGTCCTAACTGGAGAGTAGCTGTTGTTTTGAATCGTCTGATCCTGCTTTTTTTTGTGCTTCCTATATTTAGAAAAATAAGTAAAATAATTTCAATATCAGTTTAGCACTATATGTTAAATGTTTTACTCCGTCCCTTCCACTCATACGCACACCAATATATCTGTCTCTTATACACATCTAGATGTGTATAAGAGACAGCTGTTGGATATCTCGAATTTTATAGCTTGTCCCCAAAGGTCCACAAGCATGCGAGCATAGTGACCAATCACTCCACTGAGTCAATTTACAGTGTTTTATTTTACACTCACAGCATTGGCCGCTATATCCGGATGGACACTTGCAGATGCCGTCTTCTATTCTACCACTATTGTAGCAAATTCGATTACATGGCTGCTGTTCTGTCAGTGACGATGTACATACACTTCCACCACATTCTGGAGTCTGGTCAATATTGCGAGTCCTGAATGTTGTTCCGAGATAGCCACATTCACGCGAACACGTTGACCAGTCACTCCACTGGCTCATTTTGCAATCTTTTACTTTACATTCGCAGCACTTCCCAGTAAATCCACTTTTACATTTACAGCCGTTTCGTTCCGACAGGGTAGTACCTCCATTATAACACAATACGTTGCACCTACGTTTCTCAAAATGCTCTCCATAGCAGTCAATTCCTCCATACTCTGCTTGTGTCGAGTACGATCTATTTCTATGTTGTGTTTCATTTACACCACATTGTTGAGAACATTCACTCCATTGAGTCCAGTTTTGCCATTTACAATCAACCGGAGGACGAAAGTGTATTTCCCTACCTAGGAAATAACCAGCTAGTAGACCCACACAACAACAAACAAATATACCAACAACTACACCTGCCACCTTTTTGTCAGCCATTTTCTACTGTTACATCGAGCACAAACTCATATCATCCTTCCCTCTTAAGCCCCTTCACTACTCACGTTACATTGATGATATTTTCTTCATATGGACTCATGGCCACGCCTCACTCACTGATTTTATCACTCATGCTAACAGCTTTCACAATACCATTAAGTTCACTGTTGAACTATCTGACTGCCAAATACCCTTTCTTGGTCCTCGTTAAATGTTCTAACTGCACTATCAGTTCTTCACTTTATGTTAAACCCACTGACTGTCACTCCTATCTTCACTACTCCAGCGCTCATCCTAAATCTCTGAAGTCCTCTATTGTATATAGTCAATGCCTTAGAATAAAACGTATCTGCTCGGACCCCCTTGACTATGCTCACCATATTCAAGCTATTACCTGTAAATTTCTCACTGCTGGCTACCCCCTCAAATTAATCAAGCATCAGATACAGAAAGCCCACTCAAACCCCACAAAGACCTCCTCCAGTACAAGCCGAAGCTCTCTAACAATAATCGTATCCCCATTGTCTTAAACTATCACCCCCTCAACCGAACTATTTCCGGTTCTATTCGGAAGGATTTCCCAATCATCCAACAGGATCCTTCCATTAACTATCTTCTCACCGACCCCCCTTTCCTAGCCCAACGCCAGCCCCCCAACCTCCGTTCCATCCTTTCCCCCTCACTTTTAACTAGCCCCATGCTCAGATCTACAGGCAAACACCTATGCAACAAGCCCCGATGCAAACTTTGTAAAATCCTCATCACCGATCAGACTATTCGTATCACTAACCACTCCATATAACCTCCCAACCTCACATGCGATTCTCACAACATAATTTATTTAATAACATGTAATATTTGTAACAAAGGCAATTACGTTGGCGAAACCATGAACCCTCTTAGATTCCGCATTAACCAACACAAACACGACATTAGGAAAAAAGCCCCTGACAAAACCGTAGCCCAACATTTTAATTTTGCCCTATCACTCTATTAACAATCTGCGTGTTACCATTATCGAATCTAACTTCAACTCCACTCATCATCGCCGCCTTTCTGAACTTTCCTGGATTATCAAGCTAAAAACTCACACTCATGGCCTTAACAAAGATCTTGACTTTCTAGCTGACTTCACCTTTCACC